GTGCGCTCTTTTAGTTTGTAGTGATGTGACAATATATATATATATATATATATATATATATATATATATATATATATATATATATATATATATATCGTCATACATATATATATATATATAAATTTAAAACAATAGGATGAGGTCGGGGACCTCACAGTTCTACCCAGAGTTATCCTGGCGGCTTTAGCCCTCTTGAACAATGAGACATTCAACATCCATAGACTCCCATACCCGAGAATGCATACAACCGAATACCCACACATTAGGACCTTCCACACATCACACGAGGACAAAGCAGCAATGGAGAAAAAACAAGTTTCTAGTATACAGAATTCTCACGACTCTCCGCCCTCGGCTCAACCCCCAATCCGTCGAGACCACCAACAACCATAGTCACAAGGCCCTGCCATTGTCGGCGTCTGATCTCCACCACCGCTCAGTCCCTTCGACTTCCTTACCCCAAGTCTATTGCTAACTCCGCCACCCGCCGTCACTCCGCCCGTCACGGGCCACGTCGAGCATGTCCGGCGCCATGGGCTACGTGCAGCTTGCAATTGAGATCAAAGAGAAGGAGAGGAAGGGTTTGTGAGAATTTATAGCGTGGAAGACAGCGGAGCAGAAGCGTAAAGAACGAGGTGTAGATGAGCAAGACAGGGGAAAGGCTGAGATTCCAGATGGATCGAAGAAGGCGAGTCGACAATCTTCGGGATTGTGATGGTCATTCAAGTGGGGTTCACCTTCTGCTCTTTCCACATTGATCCGGCCATCCTAATCACACAACCAATCGTTCGCAAGGATGGGTAAGGGGGGGATCGGGCTTTGCTCGAGGGAAGACGAAGGGGCATGCAAGAAAGAACATGCGCGGCAAGAAAGGAAAATGGCACGGGGATGGAAACATGAGGGAGCGGTTTTATAAGGCGTGCAAAAATTTGAAAAACAGCCACACGCGCAACGTTTTAAATTTTGAAATTCTTGCCCACACTAATTCCTAACTGTTTGTTGAATTTCTGGGCGTAGACGCTAATCGACCGCGCTGGAAAGACATCACCGACAATTTTGAAAAGAAAAATAAATTTATGTTCTGTCCCTCCCTCTCTATTTAAAAAAAAAAAAAAAAGGAAAGAAAAAAAACCTCATTCTTCCCAATTATCGAGAGCCCGTACTATGTGGCCTTACATAGGATTTTTCCCGAAGGGTATGGCAAACAACCGAGCACGGGTTGTGACGAACCGATTTCTGTTCCACGCAATCTTCTACGCGTTGGCAATGAGGGATCCTAAGATGGGAAGGTTGGGCCAATTACGGGAGATCGGGATCGAAGAGAAAGTTACATCGGTGTCCTCGCTTCTTCGTCTTTTTGCATCGCTCTTTTTTGGATGGCTGGGTTCAGGGCTAGGCAAGTCCTA